GCCATTCAGTCGCTGGGCTTTTATATATATAGATATTCATCTGAATTGAGCCTTGAAAGACACATGATTTCTAACAGGTGGTAATTAGGAAAGGAACATTCTGTCCCTGGGTCCCCATCATAGACAGAGCTGGGAGACCAGAAAGTACACAAAATTTCTTGAGGAAGTTGATAGCACCTTGAGGAAGTTGGTGGGAAATGGGGTTAGAAATATAGATGTGAAGGGCCTTCAATAGCATGCATTTCCATTCAATCATTGGTCCCACCTCATCACAATTTTAGCTCAAGTTATCAGCTCAGTACCATCCCAGAGGAGTCTCCCACAGATTCTCTGAGTTTTGCACACATTTCTTCTGCCTGGAAAGGTGCCTGCCTCTACTTTACTTCTTAGGCATGTTCAAGCACACTTTATTCCAAGGAGCAGGGAACCAGTATGCCTTTTTCTTTCCTTTTTTTAAAAGCAGTATTTTGGTTTCTCCCACAGTATTCTGAAAAGGAGGATAAATATGAAGAAGAAATTAAACTTCTGTCTGACAAACTGAAAGAGGTGAGTGATCACACCCAACTGGTCAAGTTTCTCCTGGCGCTGGTCTTGAAGCAATCATAGTAACTCTCGTCTTTTCCTTTAGGCCGAGACCCGTGCTGAATTTGCAGAGAGAACAGTTGCAAAACTGGAAAAATCTATTGATGACCTGGAAGGTATGAAATTACCATCTAATTTTGTTTGCTCTGTCTCTCCCTACTTGACACATCCATGGAAAGTTGGGGAATATCTGTGCAGGGACTAAGTTGGGCTATGTTCAGTTTCGGATAGTAAGTGCAAAGTGATGTCACATCTGGAAGTCTGGAGCTTTGGAATCAGATAGTGCAAATCAAATTCAGACTCGGGTTGCCATTTTTTGAGAAATAAAATATCTTTGGTTAATTACCTCCACGTGTGAGTACCAAGACCCAAATATGGCTGATTTTTTTAAAATGCCTTTAGAATTTTCTTCCATTTCCTCATTTCTGAGAGATGCCTTGCATTTTTCAGATGCCTTGCATTTTTTACAGAAGCTCTCTCTCCCAGAGAGCTGAGCTTATCACTATATGAGACAACGGAAATACAGAG